CACTTGGGTTACAAAGGTAACCGCTTCCCCAGAGCTGCCAAGAATCTCCCATCTGCCATCCAACAACCCCAAGTTACTGAGAAAAACCTGCTAGAGGAAGTCCAGCTTGGTCGCCTGGCTGGCCCCTTTGAATCCACCCCTTTTCAAAATTTTCAAATTCATCCCCTCGGCCTAGTCCCCAAAAAGGGAAGCCAAAAGTGGCGCACTATTTTCCACCTATCCTACCCCAAGGGGTCCCCGGATAGCTTAAATGCTAACATACCCATTGAGGATTACACCCTTCAGTATATTCGGATTGACGATGCCATTGCCCTGGTCCTCAACCACGGCCCCGGGTGCTTTATGACAAAAACTGACATACAGTCCGCTTTTCGAATTATCCCCGTTCACCCCGGGGATTGGGAACTCTTGGGGATGTCCTGGAAGGGTCGTTATTACTTCGACAAAGCCCTCCCCTTCGGGCTAAGGAGTGCCCCTTTTCTCTTTAATCAACTCGCTGATGCCCTGGAATGGTTGGTCAGACAACACCTGAACATCCCCTCCATCATACACATTCTCGACGATTTTTTCATTGTTCAACCTGCCCCCTCGTCCCTTTGTGCCACAGCCCTCTGCCGGGTTCTTACCCTCTTTGAGGAATTAAACATTCCCCTTGCCCCACAGAAAACCTTTCGCCCCACCCAAGTTCTTGAATTCATGGAAATAACACTCGATTCCGTAAACATGCAGGCTCGTCTCCCCGAGGATAAGTTAAGTAATGCCCGGTCCCTGCTAGCGGACTGGTCTTCCAAACGGGTCTGTCGTCTACAGGACCTGCAGTCCCTCATTGGGACTCTGCAGTTCGCCTGCCGGGTTATTTCCCCTGGTCGCCCTTTCATGCAGCGCATCATTAACCTTACCCGGGGTTGTGTCCGCCCCAAGCGGATTATTTTTCTCACCCAGGAGTTCAGAAAGGACATCCTCATGTGGCAATTTTTCCTCGACCACTGGAATGGTGTTAGCCTTTTTCTGCCCCCTTACACAGAATCATCCCCACAAATCCATTTATATACAGACGCAGCGGGTGCAGTCGGATACGGGGCCTTCTTTGACAATCAGTGGTTCCAGGGAAAATGGCTCCCCTCCCACCAGCTCAACCCCTCCACAGGGATAAGTATTACCTGGCAAGAGCTTTACCCAATTTACCTTGCCTGCATGATTTGGGGGCCCCATTGGGCTAACAGGAGAATTTGTTTCCATTGTGACAACCAGGCAGTCGTCGCAGTTTTGTCTGCTAAAAGCTCAAAAATTCCCCGCATCATGAACCTTGTCCGTTTGATCACCTTTCAAACTTTGAAGTTTAATTTTACCTTTACCGCAAAGCACGTCCCAGGGGTCGACAACGGCATAGCTGATAGTTTATCTCGCTTTCAGATGCCCCGGTTCCACCAACTCGCACCAGATGCATCGCCCGTTCCCTGTCCAATCCCTCCTTTCCTGACGAAAGTCTAACTATGCAGGCTGCTCACTACATTTTCCAGTCCACCGCCAGCTCTACTCGTCGAACCTATTCCTCTGGGGAGCGACACTTTATTAGATTTTGCCTTTTTCATAAACTCATTTCACCCCAAACCCCTTTTCTCCCTACCAGTGAATCAACCTTAATTCATTTCGTCACCCACTTATCCAATACCGTTTCGTATGGCACTATTAAAGTTTATCTGGCAGCAGTTAAGAATCTCCATGTTGAGTTTGGCTGTCCCCTGGACTTCTCCTCCATGCCCTTCCTATACAAGACCCTTCGAGGGATCAAATCCTCCCTCGGTATTGCCAAACGGGCCCGGTTCCCTATTACTATTTCGATCCTCCGCCAAATTTATGCCAAACTAAAACCCTTCCAATCGTTGGACACAGATTCTTCAATGTTGTGGGCTGCTTTTACCCTTGCGTTCTTTGGCTTTCTACGTAGTAGCGAATTCACTTACAACGGCAAGTTCAATATTCAATCCCACCTGACAAGATCGGACGTCCACTTTTACCCCAACATTGTCCAACCTGTGTCTTTCGAGGTTGTCATCAAGAAGTCCAAAACAGACCCTTTCCGTGAGACAGCCAAGCTCACTATCGCCAAATCAAACTCTACTGTATGTGCAGTCACCGCGTTAAGAGACTATCTCCTTCAAACTAATCCCAGTGGAGCTACCCAGCCCCTCTTCCAATTCTCGGATGGACGACATCTTACTCGGTCCTCCCTCACCAACAACTTACGGGCTCTTCTCAAGGTTTGTGGATTGGATAGTACCTGCTATGCATCACACAGTTTCCGCATTGGAGCAGCCACTACTGCGGGGGCTGCTGGCCTTCCAGACTGGCTCATTAAAGTTCTTGGCCGTTGGAAATCTGATGCATATCAGTCGTACATCAGGACACCCAAAGAAACCATTCTCCAAGTCCCTCAAAATTTGGCCTCCTGTCTATCCAGTTAATGACTTGAAAACAATTAGATGTCACATCGCAATGA